TATAATAATAAAAGCCTAATATGCTAATTAGACTGGACAGCCGAACGACCTTCCGGACGTCATTCCGGACGTCTTTCCAGATGTAGCCACAGTGGCGGGGGCCAAGGCAGAGGTGGTCAGGGGCGATCAGGCAGGCAGGCAAGCAGCTAGGGATGATCAGGCAGGCAGGCGAGAGGTTAGGGGTGATGAGTTAGGCAGGCAGAGTGGTTAGGGGTGATCAGGCAGGCAGGCAGGCCAGTGGTTAGGAGCCAGTGGTCCTGGATTACAAAAGGGATGTCCGACTGCCGGTTTAGGCCCGATCCCAGGGGCAGTCAGATATCCCACAAGGCGTCCCGGGTTGTGAGAGGGTACAGGCAGGCTGAATTTCGTGCACCAGGCCTCTAGTATGCATAAAAGTTCTGTGGTTAATCTCTTCCCACCTACCCCACCTTCCCTCTCACATTTGTCAATCTGTAGAACAGCCACTTTTAAAAAAATATATATGTTTTAATTGACTTATAGAGAGAGGAAGGGAGAGGGATAAAGAGATGGAAACATCAATGAGAGAGGAACATCATGTATCGGCTGCCTCCTGCATGGCTTCTGCTGGAGATTGAGCCTGCAGCCTGGCCATGTGCCCTGACAGGGAATTGAAACAGCGACCTCTTGGTTTCTGGGTCGATGCTCAACTGCTGAGCCACACCAGCCAGGTAGAACAGCCACTTTTAAAGTGTGGTCTGCTTTGTCTTGACAGGCTGTCTCTGAGACACTGTTCAGAGGTTCACAAAGTGAAAAATTTTTTCCTAATACGACTGAGACATTACGTCAGAAAGTTTTATCATGATAAGAAAGTAGCTTTTATTACTAGGTTACTTAATATGTCATGAGGAATGGATTTTGAATTTTATTAGAATGCCTATTAAGCATGTAATAATTTTTTCCTATGAGCCATTGACTTATATTAATCTAATAGATTTTATTAATTATTATTTCTTGCATTTCTGGGATAATCCTTATTTATCTTGTTTTAATGCAGCATTGGATACTGTAATTAGAAATGTTGTGTTTTATTTTCACAGGAAGACTAGTATATAGTTTTGTTCCTTAACCCTTCTCATTATCACAGTTAGACCACCTTCATAAATGGAAAAGGACCGTTTCCTGCTTTCTCTCTTGGAAATTGTTTTTCCTTGAATGTTTAAAAAATGTATCTGTAAAACTATGAGTTCCACGTTTACTCATGATTACTGGCCTATTTAGGTTTTCTTCTTAAGTTATTTTTGCTTATTTATACATGAGATTTCCTCCCCCCCCCACCCCCAGAAAATTACCCATTTAATTGAAATCTTTCTAGTTTCCTTATTTTACTTGTATTCTCATTTTATTTCCTTTTAATCTATATATAGTTGTTTTCATTCTTTCATTAGACTTACCTTTGGCTTGCCTACTTTAATTGCACTTTTTTCTTCTTTATTATTTCCTTCTTCCTGCTTCCCTTAACCTTGTTTGTGTTTGTGTGTGTGTGTGTTGATGTTTAACTAAATTTCTATGTTAAATATCCAAATCCTATTTCATTCTTCCTTGTTTCATAGTATATCCATTTAAATCTGTTGAGTTGCTATGCTACCCTTTTCAGGAAAACAAAACACGTAGTATTGTGTTTCAGGGTTAATGTGCAAACAAAATAATGTTCTTTTGACATCTTAGGATTTTGTATGGGCGAATGAAGAATAAGACTGGGAGTAAAACTCAGGGGAAATCTGCGTCAGGCACCCGCATGGCCATTGTTCTGAGGTTCCTGGCTGGGACCCAACCAGAGGAGATCCAGATATTCTTGGACCTACTGTTTGAACCTGTGAAGCACTTCAAGAATGGTAGCTGTCAACCTCCTGACACTCTGAATGTGTGTTGTCTGCTGTAGACTTCTAATGTCTCAGGCTAGGTGTCCGCTCTTGGTATCTTTCTGATGGGGTTGCTCCTCGAAACCTCATTGGTGGTCTTTTTGGCTGAAATGCAATTCATTTTAAACTTTGATTGGATTAGATGGAGCTCACAGTTGATCATAGCTGATAGGCACCCATGAGTTAGGAATCCCCTGATTAGAAAATGTGTATTTTGTTATTGCTGCTGTGTAGTTAGGCCACTTGAGACATACAACAAATAGGCTTCTCCTTAGAATCTTAAAGCATGCTACAAAATTAAACTTAATTGTCTTGGTATTATGCATTCACTGAGTCATTCATTTACTGAGTAATGATTTGTTGAATTTCTCCTGTAACCCAAAACTCTGTTGGAAATAGAGTATTTATAATCTCTGCTCTCACCTCATAGTCTAAATGAAGTGGGTGTAATAAGTGTATTCAGTGAGCTGTAATGCTTTGTGGTATGTTCTCTGGTATGCATGTTAGTAATTAGTAATAATAATAATGGCTAACATTTATTGAGTGCTAACTTCATGCCACATGTTATGACGGGTCCCTTTACACTATAAAGGGTTCTCAACCTTCCTAATGCCGTGACCCTTTGATACAGTTTCTCATGTTGTGGTAACCCCCAACCATAAAATTATTTTTGTGCTATTTCATAACTGTAATTTTGTTACTGTTATGAATCGTAATGTAAATATCTGATATGCTATATGTGTTTTCCAATGGTCGCGACCCACAGGTTGAGAACGGCTGCTTTACAGACAATTCAGTTAAACCTTAAAACAACCATATGAGGTATCATTAACTTTTGCCCCCATTTTATAAATGTAGAAACTGAGGCTTAGAGAAGGAAGTATTTTGTTCATGGCCCCTCAGCTAGAAAATGGTTAGAATTCTAGTCCAGATCTTTTTTACTACAGAACCTCTAATCCAGTTTCATAATTGCGTCAGGCAAACATATACTAGTATATTTATTTGTAGGATAATGTGTGGCATTTGTTTTGTATTTTTTCTGTGAAAATGGATCCAGCAGTTAAGAAGGTTTTCACTCAGTATAATGTTGCTCTGTGAGGGAAGCTGGCTCTAATGAATACGAGATTTTGTTCAATGTAATAGCCTCTGGTTAAAAGGACAGCTATAAATGATACTCTCATGGATGGAACACTTAGGTATGTGAATCAGCGAGCTATCATCTCATACCATTTGGTTAGAAGTAAAGCTCAAGCATTAAAAGTTCAATTATGAAATAAATTTATAAAGGACTATTGTTTCATTTATTTCCCAAGGGCTACAAGAAAAATAAAACATTTGATTCTCAGCCCCCCAGGAGCTTATAATGTAGCCAGATATTTTCTGTGAAATTCTGAAGTCAGCATAGTCAGTGGAAGCTGAGAGAGAAAATGCTGGGAGAGTTTCTAGATGGAATAAAAGACTATTAGTAGCTTGCATTTTTGAGAATAGTATAAGTAGGATGAGAATTGGGCTTAGACCAGGGGTGGGCAGACTTTTTGACTCGAGGGCCACAATGGGTTCTTAAACTGGACCGGAGGACCGGAACAAAAGCATGGATGGAGTGTTTGTGTGAACTAATATAAATTCAAAGTAAACATCATTACAGAAAAGGGTACGGTCTTTTTTTTTTTTTAGTTTTATTCATTTCAAACGGGCCGGATCCGGCCCGCGGACCGTAGTTTGCCCACGGCTGGCTTAGACACTTAGTTCTGTCACAAGTTTCTTACTCTTTTATCCCTCGGTTTCCTCATCTATCCTATATAATAAAAGCCTAATATGCTAAGTGTCCGGTTGACCAGTCCACCTTTCAACCAATCAAAGTGTAATATGCTAATGATATGCTAAGGCTGCTCAACCACTCACTATGATGTGCACTGACCACCAGGAGGCAGACGCTCCCACCGGTAGGTTAACTTGCTGCTGGGGTCCGGCCAATTGGGACTGAGTGAGATGGGCCAGACATGCCCTGGAGCTATCCTGCGGTCCCTCCCCATCTGGCCAACCTATGTCTCTCCTCCCTGGCCCCGATCATGCACCAGTGGGGTCCCTCAGCCTGGCTGCACCCTCTCGAAATCTGGGACTCCTCAGGGGATGTCGGAGAGCCTGTTTTGGCCCGATCCCACAGGCCAGGCTGAGGGACCCCACTGGTGCACGAATTCATGCACCGGGCCTCTAGTAAAGAGATAATATTAGTGAAACCTAACATACCTAGCTCATTGAACATTTGGTAAGGATCAGAAGGAGAAAATCAATGAGGAAAGTATATTATCATCTATAGATTACTATAACAATAGAAAATACTGTATTACTGAGGGAAATTGAAATGAAGCTATAATAACAATGATAACAATAAGCTGTAACAATAACAAAATAATAACAAACTACTATTGCCTTTTACATGATACCTCTGTTCCTCTGTTTCCCTAGGAGAATGCCATTCTGCAGTTATCCAGGCAGTGAAAGATTTGGATTTGTCTAAAGTTCTTCCTGTAGGTCGCCAGCATGGTATCTTAAATAGCCTTGAAATAGTATTGAAGAACATTAGCCATCTGATCAGTCCATACCTACCAAAGATCTTGCAGATACTGCTCTGTATGACAGCGACTGTGTCACACATCCTTGACCAACGAGAAAAGGTGAGAGAGATTCTCTGTATATGCTTTTGGGGGCGCTAGTAAGAGTCTGTGTTGTATTTGGGAAATTGGTTGGAACTTGAATACCTCACGTCCTTCCAGGTTAAATCTGTCTTATGCAAAGTGTCTTTAAAACAGTTTTTCATATAATGGAGATCTTCATTGTTAGCAGTATTTATGTATGGTCAGAAAATGCAAATTATATCAAGTGTATATTTTAAAAGGATATGAAATAGAGAGTGAGTTCTATATGCATCTCAGAAACCAAAGTCGGGCAGAGCAGAGTTGAGCTGATGTTTCTTAGATTTTAATTTTAGGAGCCTAGAGATGAAGGACATCTTCCAATTCTCATTTATCCAGACAGCTAGAGAATGAATAGAGTACTGTTAGCATTGTCCTTGTTGTTTTGACAGAGTTACCCAGAGCTCTTTTAAAAGTAAATGCTTGATTGCTGTACTTGCTGTGTTTTGACTACAGATAAGAAGCAAGGCCAGGCAAGACAAGCCAGCTAGCCAACTGCAAAAAACAAACAAACAAACAAACAAACAAAAACAACTTCATAAAGTGCTGCTCAGTAAATATTTTCTGAGTTGTATTCAAGACAGTAGTTAGTATGCTCTGTTGCAATAGGTGTGTGAACATAAGTAAACTCTGGAGTTCAGGGAAACTTAATATCTTTATGGGCTAAAGCAGGGGTGGGCAAACTTTTTGACTCGAGGGCCACAATGGGTTCTTAAACTGGACCGGAGGGCCGGAACAAAAGCATGGATGGAGTGTTTGTGTGAACTAATATAAATTCAAAGTAAACATCATTACATAAAAGGGTACGGTCTTTTTTTTTTTTTTTTAGTTTTATTCATTTCAAACCGGCCGGATCCGGCCCGTGGGCCATAGTTTGCCCACGGCTGGGCTAAAGGCTTCTGGAGAAAATAGAACGTGAAGTGAAAATTCAGACTCAGATTTTTGCTGTGGTTTCTCAGCTCATGATAAACAGACACAGCTTTAATTTGGCTGAAGTTTCATTTCTTTTATGGAGTTGCCTGGTGAACTGCCTCTCAAATATGGCCATGATAACTGAAAATTGACAGCCAAAATTTATGCTGCTTTTGGGGGCTGTGCATAGATATAAATCTGCTTTAGTAATGAAATAATATTCTCTGATTACCAAGATCCAGAATGCACCTTCCATTTCGGTAGGCACTGTTTTGTTTTCCTCTTTTTTTTCAGTCATTACTTCAGCAAATATTAATTGAGCCCTACTCTGTGTGTGGCACTGATCTAAGCACTGGGGATGGAGAGTGAACAAAGCATTTGTCCCTTTCCTTGTTCAGTAAATACTTATTTCATCTGTGCTGTCTACCAGGCAATGTTCTAGGTGGGGAATTAGAAAGGTAAGGACTCAGTACCATGTGGAGAAAAGTGAGAGGAAAATAAAATGAGACCCATTTATAGATCTCTAAATGTCATTCTTTGTGGAACTCTCTCCTGTCTAGTACCCTCTTCCCCGTGAATTGTAGCTATCTCGGCCCACCTCCTCAAACCCCATGGCTCTGTCTTCTCATCTTGGAAAGATGACTGGACTTTGCCTTCTCACACTGATGCCTGACACTCCTCTCCAGGCGAAATGATGGGGAATGTGTAGGGCTCACCTCATCTGTTACTTCTCTATTGGGGCTTACTGTCATCTGCTGCCTGCTGTCCAGTGTCTGAAAATTATTGTTTCATATATTCTGGCAAATTGTCTAGTGTCAGAGAGGGTAGGCTAAATCTGATCCCTGTTGCTCCATTTGACTGGAATGGGAAAATCGCCAGAAAGGAACAGGCAGACAGTCCTCCAACTATCATTGGCTGGGAGTCCAGTACCTTGAACAGAAACCTCCTGGTACCTGGGGCATCAAGAAGAGTCCTCGGCAGGGGATTGCCTCAGGAGTGGACCCAGATTAGTCCTGGGATTAAGGATGCTTTGGTGCCACCTTATAAAGCTGAAAAAGACCACACTTTTCCCAAGTAAATGAACTGCATCCCAGAACAAAACTCAAAAACATTCAAATGATTTAAAAAACAATAAAATTCACAGTGTCTGACATTCAGGCAAGTTTTACCAGGCATCCCAAGGAGGAGGACAATTTTATGCATGATGAGGACAAAAACTAGTCAATAGAAGCAGACCCAGAAATGACACAGATGGTAGAATTAGATAGAGACTTAAGACAGCTATTAGAAACACACTCCATATATTCACAAAACTAGAGGAAAGCATGAACATGTTGAGGAGAGACATCAAGATGTGAAGAATTTAAAATAAAATAAGAGAATGTGGTAGGGAGTGACCAAAGTGGGGGTAGATGGGTGCTGCTTTAACTAGGATGGTCAGGATCCTCACGCAGGAGGTAATATTTGAGTTTGCACCTATTAGTCCATGGGAAGAACATTTGGGGCAGAGATCATGATTTGTAGCCTAAAGTCCCTGAGGTAGAACAGCCTCGGCCCTTTCTGAGAACAGGGCAGAAGGACGAGGTGGCTAGAGCACAAGGAGCAGGAAGAATCGTGTAGAGCTCAAGAGGCAGGTAGGGCCTTATGGGCTGTGCCAAGGAGTTGGCTTTACTTCCAAGTGTACTGGGAAACCCCTGAGAGGTTTGTCGTAGGGGGGATGATAAGCTCAGTTGGATGTTTTAAAAATATCACTTTTATTCCTTTGTGGAAAATAGACTGTGCAGGGGCCAGGAGTGGAAGCTGAGAAGAGGTCTTGGAGCCCGGGCTGGTGTGGCTCAGTTGGTTGGAGCACGACCCATGCACCATAGGGTCAGAGCAGGTTCAATCCCTGGTCAGGGCACCTATGGGAGGCAGCTGATCAATGTTTCTCACATTGATGGTTCTCTCTCTCTCCCTCCCTCCCTCTCTGAACTCAATAAAATAACCTATCTTGGGTGAGAATTAAAGAAAAGAGAGATTTTGGAAGATTCTTTATGTTATGAGGATGATAAGAAGCATTATGTAAAAATTCTCTTTTATGCCTTATAGCGAGTGACAGTGACTTTATCTCTACATGGATACGTTAAATGCTGAATGGTTAAAGGTTTTTTGTTAATCCACACCCTAGGATATTTTTTTCATTGAATTTTAGAAAGAATGGAAGGGATAAAGGGAAGAGCGGAGAGAGAAACATCAATATGAGAGAGACACATCAATTGGTTGCCTCCCACACATGCCCCAGTCGGGGCCGGGGATTGAAGCTGCCACCCAGGTACGAATCGAACCCATGACCCTTTGGAGCACGGTCCAACTCTCTAATCACTGAGCATGCCAGCTAGGGCTGGTTAAAGGTTTTATAAACCCTCTGTAAGTCTTCCGCCTTTTTGGTTAAAGTAGAAGTCAATCAGTAATACAGCCTTGCTCCTGTGTCAACAATCAGTAACTCAGAGGATCATTTGTGCAATTTCACAGTTCATTAGTCAGTGAGTTGCTAAGCTTCTTGACAGGTAGGCATTTTTCTTATTTTTAAAAAAAATTCTTGGACAAATCCAAAGAATTCTTTGAGGTGCTATAATGAATTATTGCACAGTAATATTGCTTAAATAAGTTAAAGTTCTACCTTTGTGTGTTTGAACTACATTACACATTTACTTTTGGATCTTTCAGATCCTCTGAGGTATTGACTGGTACTCAGATGTATATTGTGAGGGTAGCTTTGGTTTGGCTTTATTTTTCTTTACATTTAAACAGTGGAGTAACTTGGAAACATACATAAACTCAGGCCTGTTGGTTATTCCTCTAGAAACTAAAGTCCATAATTGCTTGCTTGCAGGATTTTCCTCCAGTTTATCCAACAGTTAGCAGATTGGGCAGCTGGTGCTATAGTTACAGAAGTGAATGGAACACACAGGTCCTACCCCACAGCGAGGGGGCTTGGTAGTGCGGTTGGGGAAAAGGTGGAGGGGGTCTGATTTGATACCGTGTTTGCAAGGATTAGTTTCTCATTTGCTCCAAGGGATCATGATACCATGTGGGTTTTTTTCAAATATCAGTAGTTTTTATCTTTCATCAAACATGATACAGCTGATAATTTTTGCCATTAGAATTGAAGCAGAACAGAATGACTTGTAACTGTGTCACCTTATCCTTGCCTGTCATTTCCTGTCTTTGTGATTTGTATAAGGAGATAATTAACCAAAAGTACATGGTAGAAGCTTGCTGGGTATGTGAAATATCATGATTCCTCAGACTTACACAGCAAAATAATGGTGTCCTTGTACCTATTCACTTGAATTGAAAATGTGCACTTCCCGATTCAAATACCTCTGTTGATCAGAATATTAGGTCTTCATGAGAAATAACTTCCCTTTTAGTTTTTTCATAAGACCTTGGCCATAAGATTTGATATTCATTTATTAGAGCATTTGTGTTGTCTTGAGAAATTTGTGTTGTCTTGAGAAATTTCAGGGTGGTTTTTAGATTTTTATGTAGGTAATTAAAGTCATATGTAAAAATAAGTTGCCACTTATAGATCCAGAGTCCACAGTATATTTATCAAGTGGAAAAACATTTAGGGGTTGAGTCTTAACCCATGTGTTTTTGTTTTGTTTTAATATATATTTTTATTGATTTCAGAGAGGAAGGTAGAGGAAGAGAGAGAGATAGAAACATCAGTGATAGAGAGAATCATTGACTGGCTGCCTCCTGCACACCCCACACTGGGAATTGAGTCCACAACCCAGGCATGTGCCCTAGACTGGAATCGAACCCAGAACCCTTCAGTTTACAGGCCGGCGCTCTATCCACTGAGCCAAACTGGCTAGGGCCCATGTGTTTGGATTTTACAAATTCTGTGCTCTGGAGAAATCTCTCTGAGGCCTTTTTCTCTCTCTCTGCCTAGCCTAAACATCTTCATCCTTTAAAATCCATTGGAAATTCTGCCTCTTCCATGAAGCTTTACCCTTCTCAAATTTATAATTCCTCCCCTCTCAGATATCTTCGGCATTTTCAGTCTCACATAATTTAATAAATTTTCCTTCATTAAGTTTTTATGTATATATATACTTTTAAATCCCTAGCCAAGGATATGTTTATTGACTATAAAGAGAGAGAGGGAAGAAGGGAGAGAGACAGAGACAGAAACATCAATTGGTTGTCTCGTATAAGCACCTCGACTGGGGATTGAATGAACCTGCAACCTGGGTATGTGCCCTAACCTGGAATTGAACCCAAGACCTTTCACTGTACAAGATGAAGCTCTAGCCAACTGACCCACACTGGCCAGGGCCTTCAGTAAGATTTTAAGCTGAGGTCAGGACTATGGCTGTCATGCCATTGGACCCAACAGTGGGACTCAGTAAATTGTTCCACTCTGAGCCAGAACCAAATGCCTTCCTATTTGTGATTTCTCTAACTCCATAGAGAAGGAGATGCCCCGAAAAGAAGCAGTGTCTGTCACAAAAGAAGGTGCTGTTAATTCAGACATCCACCCACTTCAGCTTTGGTGCCTCTAAAGAGACACATCTTGTTTTCTTACAAATTTTTCTTTGAATTACATATTTCGAGATCTTCCCTTGCCTTATCAGTCACCACAAAGTATTTCACTGTATAGAGAGAGCATAAAATCTTTAGCTAGTTCCCTAGACTGAGTTTAACAAGAATAATTTAAAACTCCTAATTTTAACCAAGGTAATACACACACACACACACACACACACACACACACACAGAGGAATGTGACTTTAATTTGGAATGAAGGTTTAATATATTTTTCCCTAATCTAAGGCTTTGTGATGCCAAAAAAAAAAAAAGTTTTCTTTTGTTGAGAGTATCTGTTCATACAAAGAAATCAGGATTTTATTTGAGACAATTACTTGAGTAGAGAAATGCAACAATGTAGAACACAAAACAGCTGTTCCAGTTGTGATTTTTGCCCCTAAGGTATGCTCCACTGTGATTTTACTGGGTAGTGATAATAGAGCACATCTCACCATTTGATTTTTTAGGTCTTTGCTTCCCCATCTTGTCCAATGAGAAAACCAACATGACTTGCACAGTTGACATTTCCGTGTGAATCAGAACCAAAGTCAACAGACTTAATAAGATTTCCAGTTTGATTCTTAGCTGTCTGAGCTAGAGCGCCTCCCTGAGAAGTCACTGATTAAAATGATGTATGTATTTTTTTAATAGAAGATCTTTGCTTTACAGATACAGCTGAGGTTTATCAACCCCCTGAAAAATTTAAGACGTCTTGGAATCAAAATGGTAACTGATATCTTTTTGGATTGGGAGTCCTATCAGTTTGGAACAGAAGAAATTGATGCTGTATTTCATGGTGCAGTTTGGCCCCAGGTAAACCTTGTTGTACATTCTGCCTGGATACCTTTGCTTCTTCCTTTGTTGTTACTGCACCAGCAGAGTCTACACTCAGACATGAAAGAATGCCTGTCCTGGTCTTTTATTTCTGGAAGTTTCAGAACTCTTTCTTTGCCTCCACTACCACCTGAAGCTCAAGAGCTAGTTCCTGCAATGCCATGGCAGTTATTCTTAAGGCTAATTTGAATATGATTGTGTCCCTTACACAATATATAACTTGTAGCACCTCACATGATGTGTCTCTGGATGTTGAGGGGAAATACACAGATATTTTTGTCACACGTTTCCTTGTGTGATTTCTCTGCTTATAACCACTTGGTGACAGTTAAGGTTACTTATTGCTAAGAAGACTATAGGAGAGCCTCGATTTTAGCAGATTTCTAGCTGCTTGAGCTCTGTCATCTCTGACCAGTTGAACTTAAGCTCCCTGGTTCCTTTCAGGCATCTAGCATTTCCATGCACCACTTTTGCCATTTTTCTTGTGTAGGTGTTATTGGATTACCTTACATTTTCCTCATTCTGTCCTTTAACTGTTCATCTCTCTGCCTTCACTCTTTTATCCTTTGGTGTGGTTTCCATGTCTGTTCTGCTTTTTAGTTTTGTTTTTTCTAAATTCTGTATATGTTATTATTTTGTATTCTGTTTTTATTTTGTTCCTAGATCAGCAGGCTTGGAACTGAGAGTCAGTATTCTCCTACTCCTCTGCTGAAACTAATTAGTATCTGGAGCAGAAATGCAAGGTATAGCCTCCCCTCTCCCCCTTTTAAAAAGAGCAGGTAATTTAGCCAAGGGCACTAATATGACTTATGGTCTTTCCATGCAGTGAACTACTGTAGGTGCAGTTAAAGAGAATAAGGCAGCTGTATCTTAAAATACATAGTTTAAAGAAAACATAGTTGCTGAACAATATCCTGTATAATAAAGAAGTAATATGCAAATTGACTGCCATGCCCTCACACAAGATGGCCATCAGGGGAGGGCAGTTGGGGGTGACCAGGCTGGCAGGGGAGGGCAGTTGGGGGCAACCAGGCCAGTAGGGGAGGGCAGTTGGGGGCAACTAGGCCGGCAGGGGAGGGCAGTTGGGGGCAACCAGGCCAGTAGGGGAGGGCAGTTGGGGGCAACTAGGCCGGCAGGGGAGGGCAGTTGGGGGCAACCAGGCCAGTAGGGGAGGGCAGTTGGGGGCAACTAGGCCGGCAGGGGAGGGCAGTTGGGGGCAACCTGGCTGGCAGGGTAGGGCAGTTGGGGGCGACTTGGCTGGCAGGTGAGGGCTGTTGGGAGCGACTGGGCCTGCAGGGGAGGGAGGGCAGTTGGGGGCGACCAGGCCTGCAAGGGAGGGAGGGCAGTTGGGGGAGACCAGCCCTGCAGGGGAGGGCAGTTAGGGGTTACCCGCCCTGCAGGGGAGGGCAGTTTTGGGCGATCGGGCTGGCAGGGGAGTGGTTAGGGAGCAATCAGGCAGGCAGGCAGGCAAGCAGTTGGGAGCCAGCAGTCCCAGATTGTGAGAGGGATGTCCGACTGCCGGTTTAGTGAGATCGGGCCTAAACTGGCAGTCGGATATCCCCCGAGGGGTCCAGATTGGAGAGGGTGCATGCTGGGTTGAGGGACACCCCCCACCCCACCCCCAGTGCATGAATTTCATGCACTGGGCCTCTAGTTATAGTATAATTCAAGAAAATGCTTATGCATGTATGCAAATAGAAGATGAAATAGAAAATGTCTAGAAGGACATATGAGAAGCTGTTGATTTTACTGTACCATGTGGAGGTTTGGGTGAGCTGTTTTTGCATGTATCACTATGTCATGAACATGTCCCTGAGTCATTAAGTAGTTTTCAAAAACACACTGAAGAAGACCTTGATTTCTTCCTCAGGAAACCCAGTTACATTTTTACTGGTAGGAAAGGCTCATTTATTTCCCAATGAGGATGCACTTTCATATCTTGTTTTATTACTGGATATTTGCAAGCAGCATTCCATAGGCACACTGGAGAAATGTTTTATGTTTGTGTAATTTTTATGCAAAGGAGCCACAAAGGACTTTCATGATAGTGACTCAGTTTTATGTTAGTTGGGTCCTTCACAAGGTATAGATCTGCATCACTGGATGCCACTCATTGTCTTCTGCATTTTCTCTCTCATTTTTGTTTGGAGTAAAAATAGAAGCTACATAGTTATAGAGGAGGTGAGTGGCAGAACTTTATTTTTCTTTTCTATTTCACACTTACCTGGTAGAAATCTTTAGAAGGGTGGACTTCTCTTGAATCCTCCACAGCAATAGATATGCCTGTGCAGTTGTGTGTAGAATGAATGTTTCAGAACCACTTGATGGGAATGTTACTCTTCAATAAATTTTTATTTTGAAATATGGCTCCAGTTTCATAGCGTCAGTCAGACATTGCTTACAACTAAGGTTAAATTATCTTAGAAATTAGGTTCATTCAGGACAACAAAAACTTGCTTACTAATTAGAGTGATCATAGCCCAGCTGGCATGGCTCAGTGGTTGAGCATCGACCTGTGAAACAGGAGATCACAGTTCGATTCCCGGTCAGGGCACATGCTCAGGTTGTGGGCTCCATCCCTAGTGGGAGTTTTACAGGAGGCAGCCAGTCAATAATTCTCTCTCATCATTGATAGTTGTATCTTTCTCTCCCTCCCTCTCTGAAATCAACTAAAAAAAATTTTTTTTAAATAGAGTGATCAGCCCTAGTTGGTTTGGCTTAGTGCAGTGGTCGGCAAACTGCGGCCCCTTGAGTGTGGCTCTTCCACAAAATACCACGTACGGGTGCGCACATACAGTGTGATTGAAACTTCGTGGCCACACTCAAGGGGCCAAAGAGCCGCATGTGGCTCGCGAGCCGCAGTTTTCCGACCACTGGCTTAGTGGATAGATCGTCGGTCTGCGGACTGAAGGGTCCCTGGTTCAGTTCTCAGTCAGGGCACATGCCTGAGTTGCAGGCTCAGTCCCCAGTAGGGGGAGTGCAGGAGGCAGCCGATAAATAATTCTCTCTCATCATTGATGTTTCTATCTCTCTCCCCTCTCCCTTCCTCTCTGAAATCAGTAAAAATATATAAAATAAAAAAAATAAAAGTAGAGTGATCATAGAGTCTATTGTCCAAACTAAAACATTCCGGAGGGTGAAGAGATGCTACAAACTATTAAGCCATAAATTGGAACTGTTCTTGGCCACTCTCTTAATAGCTGCTCTGGTTCTGGCCACCATGACCCCTGAATGGTTTAGTCTTTTCCTCCCCTGAGCTCTTTTCTCTCCTGGAAGACCCTGTGACTACATACTGTCTTTTTTTTTATTTTTTTTAAATTGATTTCAGAGAGGAAGGGAGAGGGGGAGAGAAACATTAATGATGAGAGGGAATCATTGATTAGCTGCCTCCTGCACACCCCCTGCTGGGGATTGAGCCAGCAACCCCTGGGCATATGCCCTTGACCAGAATCAAACCCGGGACCCTTTGGTCTATAGGCCGATGCTCTATCCACTGAGCCAAACCAGCTAGGGCGACATACTGTCTTTATTACACTCTTCTGTCTTTAGAGCTTACCTGCCTAATGCTCCTTGAAGGCAGAGACCATTTTGTATTTATTGTATCTCCCTCCATAGAGGGTTACCCCTCTTAATCCACAGTTAGTCATTATTCATTGCATGTGATGAAGTGCTTAAAGTTGCTGCCTGAGCCGTACACTCAAGCATAGAGCATACCCATGTGGGCTTCAGTTCTGTTGTTCAAGAGGCACACTTAGAAGTGGCATCGGATCTGATGGGCTCTTGCTAGGATCTTGCAATTGAAAGCAGTTCTCTCACCTTTTCTGTTTAAAAACATCTTAAGATAACCTACAACATAGTGGTAAAAGTCATCTCTGAAGCCACACAAATCCAGCTTCAGGTTCTAGCACCACTGTATGTTCTTTGGCAAAACTGGCCTTCCTGAGCCTCAGTTTGCCACCAGTAAAATGGAAATAATAACAGTACCTACCTCATTAAAAATATGTAAAGCGTCTTCTTGGTGCCTGTCTATACTGTGCCGAGTATCTATTGGACAAAGATGTATGAATATAATCTTTTAGAACTTTTCTATCAGTGTGTCAGTACTAAGTATATTAAAGTGCCTGAGGTCTTTTTCCCAGTGATGATTGACCTTCCTACTAGTAGTTAGGATTGCGTGTCTGACTGTAAAACAGCTGATGATTTGCCCTCGGCTGGAATGCCTCTGTGCCCTCCACCCAAGCTGGTGCGTTTCATGGCCCAGGATGCTCTCATCATCTGAGAGTCGTTCAGTATTGGGCATGGACTCATCCACCTCCCCCGACAGATGGCCCTAATCTCTGAACAGTGCATATCCTGACACAGCAAGGCTTATCATTGAAAAATAGCCAGTCAACAAAATATTTGTTTAGACTCTGGAGATTCATGGTTCTAATCTCAGCTCTACCACTTATTAGCTCCATGGCTTTGGACAAGTCTGTTTCTTCATCTGTAATATAGAGATAATGATACTACCTCACAGAGATGTTATGATACTTAGATGAGAAATGTGCATAAAGTGCCTATGAATAATGTCGGTGAAGTGCCTAACATTATTATCCATTGAATTTTAGACTTTAATTTCCCTTTTGAGTATCTTATTAAGATTAATATAAACACATATTTGTTAAACTGACTATGAAAATTCATGTAGAAGATATTTTTACAAATAAGCATTGAGAAATAAGATGACTATTTCAGTATTTCTTTTCCTGCAGATACTTCCCTTTTCTGGCTAAACAGAAACCAGGGCACCCAGAATGTGACATCCTGGTCAATGTTTTTGCGATTCTCTCAGCAAAGAATCTCTCTGAAGCCACAGCCAGTATTGTGATGGACATAGTCGACGACCTTCTCACCCTTCCTGATTTTGAACCCACAGAAACAGTCTCGAGCTTGCCCGTGACTGGATGCGTGTACACAGAAAGTGCAGACGGTATGTGTGCTGCACCAGGCAAATGATTCTTAGACCTTTGAGGTAGCATTTGTTCCCTCAGAAAGGAAAAAGTCAGTAGAATTTGACTTTTCTTTTCTTTAGAAATGGATACCAATTTATATAAACTGAGTTTTCTTTGCAGTGGTAGAAATTCAGGTTACTCACGCTCCAGAAAGCACAACTATCCTCTGGAAAATGATCAAATGATTTTCACTGTCATGTCTCTGAATTGTTCCTACCATATTGTGCTAACAATTCTTTCACCACTAACAAAAATGGCTTAAGGGTCTCGTATCAACTTTTCATTCAGCCATTTTGTCTAAGAAGAAAGTTATTTAATTTTTAGAGTTGAAATTTATTAAACTTGCATAGTAATTGAGTGCTTCCCTTGTCTGTCATTATGAAGATACTGTACAGTTATTCTATAAGAGAGTAGTTAATTAAAATCAAAATATTTGTCACCATTTATTTCAGAGTCTATCACAATAGGAGGACGATTAATTCTACCTCATGTACCTGCAATTCTCCAGTATCTCAGCAAAACCACAATAAGTACAGAAAAGGTGAAAAAGAAAAAGAACAGGGCACAAGTCAGTAAGGAACTTGGCATTCTTTCCAAGTAAGTGATACGTATTCTTAAAAGATCACTTCACCATCCATGGTCTTAATTTTTTAAAATTATATCTAGTTTTCAGTTGTTTTAATGTGATAATAAGAAACTAAAAAGATTTTCAGTATTTTTGAAGGCCCTTTATTTTTAAGTTAGTGTAGAATTCTGTTTCTCTGCTGGAGTATTCATTTTAAACCTTTTATGGCATCTGCCTTCATTTAAACATAAAAGAGAACAGACTTCAAAATTCTAAAGTAGACTAATAGATTTGCTTGTTTCACCTTTGCATGTTTTGTTCAGTTAAAAGTTTTAGTAACATGAGATCATACAGTGTTTTTGTTTCTTAAAATATTTTTACTGATTTTTAGAGAGAGAGCAAGGGGGAGGGAGAGAAAAACATCCATGTGAGAGTGACACATCAATCAGCTGCTCCTGTACGCCCCCTACCTGGGATGGAGCAGTAACCCAGGCATGTGCCTTGACTGGGAATCAAATTGGCAACCTTAGTGCATGGGACAACGCCCAACCAACTGAGTCACATGGGCCAGGGCATAATCATATAGTTTTTATTTTGTTTTACTTTGATTGATAAAAATAATTAATTTAAAAGAATAGTTTGTTTTTTTAAGAGTTAAGATCTCGAAAGGGTTTTTAAAGATTCTCTTTGGCAATAGACCTAGTAGTATATAGTTACGATTTATATAAAGAGCAAGGTTGGTAAACCTGAGTACAAAACATGATTCTATCTTAAGCTTTAATTGTTTTAGGACTCAGTTGTTGAAACTTTATTTATTCTTTGATACTTTCACCAACATCAAAAAGTTGTATGTTAGAATCTTCCAGGAACTTCTTCTAAACATTTCATTTATACTATTGTATTTCTAAATTATGTAGAGTGGAAACCACACTGAATGCACTGGTTAAATTTTAGCACAGGCTCTGTGGTAGTGGGAAGATGATAGATCAGGCACCGAAAAGACCAGTGTTTGGAGGGCCTGCTCTGTCACTTCCCAGCTGGATGACATCAACTTCTCTGAGTCTCGGTCCTCTGGGGAAAGTGGAGCTAATAAGTCCCACATTGTAGAGCTATGGTGGGAGTTAAATTGAACTACTTTTTATAGTCTTAAACAAGTCTTGGCACTTAAAAATGTTATTTCCTTGTAAAATATGAAATTACTAATGGCCAGATTGTAGCATTGGAATTTACTTTAACCCACCTAAACAATCAGACATTACAAAAGAAATAGAATAGTAGCCGTGAGCCTGAAGCTGGAGAGAAGAGTGGGCACTGCTGAGAACCGAGTTAGACTTTGTATACAGGCACACATACTTAGTCATCTGTGACTTTTGTCACTGATGTTTTCTACAGAAAGTTTTAACTCCTTAGAGATATAAGCTTAACTTGTTTGTTTTCCTTACCTATCAATTCTTTTCCTTCTCTAGGATCAGCAAGTTTATGAAAGACAAAGAACAGAGTTCTCTCCTCATTACACTCCTGCTTCCCTTCCTCCACCGTGGCAATATTCCTCAGGTATACACACAGGACGTGACTTTGCCTTTGAAGTGATGCTTAATTAGGGTTATTTGCAAACAGTAATTTTATTGGTTAGATTCTGTGATGTATTTGCCTTCAAGCATTTATGAAAAGATTTATACAGAATTATAAACTTGAAAATAGAAGAGAAAAATTGGGACAGAATTTTGAGAATGGGGAGACATCATCTACTGTAACAGTATAAGTGTCAGCCCCTTTTTTCCTTTGCTTAGCTTCTCATCCATCTCAGGATTTTGTTTTTCCTGACTTTGATCAATTACAAATCTGGAACCCAAGAAGTGCATTGTGTAATCTCAAATACGGATCACAGTGGCAAAACTGAACGAAAAGTCAGACTGTTTAAAATATTCAGACATAGCTAAGAGTTTCTCATATGATTTTCAAACCCCAATTCAGTCTGATTAAAAGAGTCTTCCTGTGGCTCAAACTCATTTGCCAGGCCTTAGTAGTTATACTGGGCATCTACTATATAGTAATTCTGTTTAAAAGACCACAGACCTGGGCACAACCAGAGGCGTAAATTCTTCACCAAGCTCATGTTTCTTGGCTCTTTTTGACTTGACAGTAGGAGAAAAGTTGTTTGAAGACCATGCATATTTTCTATTAGAATTAAAGGAAGAAACTGTTAATGGACATTACTGTGGGTTTTATGTTAAAATGCTAAGAACTTTCAAAAGACTATGGAACAGCTTTTCCAATGATGAGTTTTACTTCTTATTCATAATTATTTGTTTTGTGTGCTATAATGTATTAAAGCCAAGTTGACCAGTTTTATAAATTATTGAAATGTAATTTCTCTTCCTATTTCTTCCTAAGGATACGGAAATCGATATTCTGGTGACAGTGCAGAACCTGTTAAAACACTGTCTGGAGCCCACGAGCTTCCTCAAGCCTCTGGCAAAACTCTTCTCGGTGATTAAGAACAAGCAGTCGAGACAGCTGCTTTGTACAATTTTCCAGGTCTGTGATACTCATTTCCACCTGAATCACCTCTGTGAGTGAGAGCAGGGAACCGAGGGGTAGTGGGCAGAAAAGTTAAAGTTTTATTCACTAATGTACTGTTTTCATTCCTTTTAGACTCTTTCTGATTTTGAGAGCAGGTTAAAATATATTACTGATGTTGTCAAGGTAAGAAAGAAAAACTTTATTTCTCTTTTGCTTCAAAAGTGTTATATCATTTTTGTTTACTTAAGTTTTATATATCTTCACTTACATGGTTCCAATGGCATTTCTCACAGCTTAACGCCTTTGATCAAAGACATCTTGATGATATCAACTTTGATGCTCGCTTCTCAGCATTCCAGACCATCACCTCTCATATTAAAGAGATGCAAACCGTGGACATTAACTACCTAATTCCAGTTATGCATAATTGCTTCTATAATTTGGAGGTAGGTTTTTATAGCAAAACTTTGCCAATTATTTTTTATTGTTTTGATAATACAACTACATGACTAATTTCTTAATTTGTGTTTTGAGGAGGACAAGGGTTTTTTAGTATAAAATTTATTTAAGTTGTGGAATATTTTGTTTGGCAAAGACCATATTGTTATTCTCATGATTTGAAAGACTGAGATCTAATATAATAATAGAGGAATATGCAAATTAGCCGGGACGCTGTACCATCACAACCAATCTATAAGCTGCGGAGAGCTACTTTCCATATTATATTAGTACATAGAATTATTTGGGTGTTTTCCTGTGTCCAGTTAGGAGACATGTCTTTAAGTGATAACGCCAGCATGTGCTTGATGAGCATCATCAAAAAGCTAGCTGCCTTGAATGCCACGGAGAAGGAATATAGAGAAATCATTCATCGTTCACTCCTGGAGAAACTGAGGAAAGGATTGAGGAGCCAGACAGAGGTATTGGGATTTGTAGTTGTTACTTTTTCTCTTAAGTTTGTTATGTTTCTGTTTTTCTCTATTTAACTACTTAGAAAAGCAGTCAGGCCTAGTACATTTAATTAAAATACTTAATTATGTAATACTTACCAAACATTTAGGAGGGGGAATGGAACAGAGCAATCCCTTTTGATGTAGCTTGTTTTTATAGTGAGAATGTTTTACTTTTTTAAAAAAAATTGATTTTTTTTTTGTGTGTGTGTGGGGGGGGTTGTATTATCTAGGAAGCAAATTCTAATAAAACATTTTTTCTCAACTTGGTATTTTCAGAGTGTTCAACAGGATTATACCACACTGCTTTCCTGTTTAATTCAAACCTTTCCCCATCAACCAGAATTTAAAGATTTGGTACAGCTTACTGATTGCCATGACCCGGAAATGGACTTCTTTGAGAATATGAAGCACATTCAGGTAGAAAACATTTCTGTTTTTTTACCCTGCCTATAAAATATGCAGTTCACAGGTCTGTCTCTTTTTAAAAGATACATGTTAATTTTCCAAAAAGTTGTGAATGTCTCATTCTTGGTCTTCACGATATCAATCAAATTTGTGTAGGAGATGATCATTTTCTGGAATCTGACTTCCTTGGTGGTATCACAAACCACACTAACAGTGTTATCTTTCTCTGTCATTTTTAAAGAAGCTTACTAGCCTTTGGATCCATTGTTAAACAAGTGCTATGGATTATGTCTCTGGAAGCAAGTCAAGGCACAGGTGTTTGCTCATGTAACAAGGACTGTATTGTACTCCTTAATCTTTCCATGGCAAAGGAACATGATACTGAAATGGAGTTGGCTGTAGGTGAGATTATTCAGTAACTAATTCATATTTTATCTAACTCATAGATCCATAGGAGAGCAAGAGCCTTGAAGAAACTGGCAAAACAACTAACAGAAGGCAAGATTGTGCTGTCTTCTAAATCTCTTCAAAATTACATCATGCCTTATGCCATGAGTCCAATTTTTGATGAGAAAATGCTCAAGGTAAGGCATTAAATCTAGAAGCTGGTAAATCTCTACCATGACACGCTTTCCAAAATGTCGATGGGGGAATGGCATCTAAATTTCGTGGCATCCATATTGATGTTGTCACCATAATTAGAAGGTTAGAAGAGTTTTAAAGCCTTAGAATTGTGCATGGCACATAGTAAATGCCCTGTAAATGGTGACTATAGTTTTATTTTTGCTATTATTAGCTCATAAAAGGCCAAGCACAGAATATTTCCCCTGTTAGCAATGATCACATTACTAAGATCAGCTGAGTAGTTGTCTTCCCAAGTGGCTCATAAGAGACGAAATAAAATAATAGCTACTTTTTCTTTAGCACTACACCAGATACAGGCACTATTATAAGTACTCGAATACATAATATTACTTCTTGCTCACCACAACTCAACCCTGTGTGGTAGACACTGTTATCACTATTTTACAGAACAGTAAACTGAGAATAGATGAGGTTAGGTAACTCTCTCAATGACACACCGTTTCAGAACTAGTATTTGAACTTAGGACTGTCTTCGCCATTATGCTCATAGTGCGTAGAACAGTGCCTGGCACGTTGTAAGGACTTGGTAAGTATTTACTGATTAAATAAATTAATGAAAGATAGTACCCAGAAATTCAAGTCTAATTTCAGCAATATAAGGATTTGTGACTTGAATTTATACTGGATTGATTACATGGTCTTATAAAAGGATAGATTTGCTCTGTTGTTTCAGGGTATTAAAAAATTTTTAAAGAATTGCCTAAGTAAATAAAAGAACACTCCTTTAAATTCCAGTTTAAAGAGCCAGTAAATACAATCAACTTGGAGTTTGATGGCAATAAAATAAGAAAGAGATATAGATGGGAAAAATAAATTATATTTAGGTTTAGTTGGCGTTAGCATGGTATATCTTTTTATAGTCTTATTTTTAACCTGTGACTTAACACTTAAAGGCAATATACTTTTTAAAAATATTTTATTGATTTCAGAGAGGAAGGGAGAGGGAGAGAGAGATAGAAACATCAAAAATGAGAGAGAATCACTGATTGGCTGCATCCTGCATGGCCCCTCCTGGGGATTGAACCCACAACCCTGGCATGTGCCCCCGTAATCAAACCATGGCCCCCTGGTTCATAGATTGACACTCAACCACTGAGCAACACTGACCAGTGTACTTTTGAATGTTGAGCAGTGCAATATATAATTAATTTTGACATTTGTCAAATTTTACAGTCTGTAGGGTTGAACCTATCAGGGAGGTCTGAATGGAAAGAGTCTAAAATGTATTAATGTTTTTCAATTAAAGGAAGATGAATTGACAGCATCTTTTCTTAGGGGGTGGGAATGGAGTATAGTTTGAGTATCCTTTTCTATAACTGTTAATCATCTATTGTCTAAGCTTTTTAATGTACCACATTAGCTCTATATTTTATTTGCAAATGCTTGCTCTATGTTGATGCTCTCGATTTGTTTTACAGCATGAAAATATAACCATTGCTGCCACAGAGATTATTGGAGCTATTTGCAGACATCTGTCTTGGTCAGCCTATTTATATTACTTGAAACATTTCATTCATGTCTTACAGACAGGACAGATCAATCAAAAATTGGGTGTCAGGTATAGTCAAACTTCTTATTTTTGTTAAATGTAAATTTTGGATTATTTACTGAAATCATTTTTCTATAATGTAATTTTACTTTTACATTGTATTAGTGAGGTTATGCTCATGTTTGTTAAAGTCAAAAATACCTAAAACCGGTAAAAGTAATTCAAATGTTTATATATGTTTAAATTGCCTCTCCTTTTTAATCATCAAATGATATTATTAAGCAAATAAATATTTCTGTCTACCTTTTTTTAACAGCTTGCTAGTAATAGTATTAGAAGCATTTCACTTTGACCACAAAACTCTTGAAGAACAAATGAGAAAAATTCAGAATGAAGAAAGTAAGTTTTTAAAACTTTCTTAAACTATATTGCCATTCCATTTTTGGATACTTCATAATAATTAATTAAAGATTTACCCAGAGGAAATTCAACTTATTCCTTGTTTTTACTCTTGTAGCAGTGTGTCAGGCGGAAGTTAAAATGAGTATACTTGTAAAAACTTATGTACTAATAGGGAAGGCCAGTCTAAGTTATATAGGTGAAAAATCCGAGCTGTAGACTATTTATATGGAAATCCAGTATTATTGCCATCACATTTGGAAAGAGCAGTAAGCAATGAATGAAAAGGAAAGAGCAACAGTTAATGAAATATTAAGTAGATACAGTAAGGAACACTAAAAGTAGATATTTGACAAGATTATAAATGGACAAGCCTCTGGCAAAGTTGATCAGTGGAAATAGAAGGCATAATTAACAATATTGGGAACTTTAAAAGGTCACAATGAAATGAAAAGGTAAAGTATTATGATCTCGGTACTTATAAATTTGAGTACTTGGCTGAAACGTACAAAATCTAAAAACAAAATACAAAAACTAACTTTAGTAGAAATAGAAAAATCTAACCACTAAAGACATTAAGTCTGTAGTTAAAAACCTCATGAAGAAAATGCCAGCCTCAGACTGTTGTATAGGCAAGATCTGCAAACATTCAAGAAATGGATAATTTCAACCTTAATACCAACTGTTTCAGGTGATTGAAAAAGAGGACGCCCCCACTAAGTCATGAAGTTGCTATAACTGGTTAATGCAATTTAACATATTAGCATACAAAAAGTATTGATCATCTAAATATACATAAGGGAAATATTGATTAAACTCAATATCTATGTATGATAAAAGTTAATATCAAGCAAGAAATAAATAGAAATTGAGTTAGCCTGTTAAAAGATTTCTTTTAAAAACCTAATACAACATCATAGTCAATAATAACGGATTAAAAGTCTTTGCTTTAAAACTAGAATGAGGCAAGGATACCTACTACGATTGCTCATGTCGAATATCAGTCTAGATTCTAGCCAGCACAGAATAATAAGGAAAAGAATGAACACTCAAGTAGGCCAAGGTATCTGTCCTAATTGTTTTTGGCTAAAGATGTTGAACTATTCTAGCCCTCGTTTGCATTCCTCTACATTCTTCCTCAAAATTTTCTAATTCTTTGATTCACGGTAAAATCATTCTAGAACCACACTAATGAATAGAAAAGACTGGTTTGAACGTGTAGGAACTATATGTGTTTTAAACAATTAATGTATTAAAGCCCTTTAACAGTATGTTTAGCCAGCTGAATCTGCATTTTGCATATGTAGAAACATTAGAAATTTTAAATACTTAATTTGCTTAACTATCTCTTCCTAGATATGACTGAAGTTTAAAGCATTTTTTGAGCACCTACTATGAACTGGGATTTTATAGACATAATATCCTTTGTCCTCATAAGAACCTTACAAGCACTGTAATTATTAGTTACCCAATATTTTTTATAAGAAAAATTAAGATTAAAAAATGTAAAGTAACTTTCCCAAAGCCACACAACCAGTAAACAAAACAAAGACTAATAATTAACATGTTTTGAAAGTCAATGAAGTATCAGAAATATATTTTAGGCGCATTATAGCCTTCATCTCATTTAATCCTCACAATAGCCGTGCAAGGTGCTGTCTGCATTTTACTGGTGAAGAACCCAGAGCCCACTTGGCTTAAGGTAACTGACTGTGGTCACATGACTGGTTAGCAGAGCCAAGGCTGGACTCAACCCACAATGATGTGCTGCCTGATTTTCTTTAATAAACAGAACCTTAATTGTCAGTATACTTGTCTCTATTCCTCATTAAACTCTAAGCTGTGAAAAAAAAACAAAAAAAAACCATAATCCCAAAACCCTCTCATTTACTGTGATTTCTTCAGCACTTATCTTGCCTGCCCATAGTTAGTGACTAGATGTTTTTTATTGGATGTTGGTAGAAAAGACTACTTTAACACAACTGTGTTGTTTCCTTATTTGATTTAAGATGCCTTTGCTGTTTACTAGATATGGACACAACAGAAGCGACTGAGTTGCCAGAGCCTGAAGCCATGGAATTAGAGCCAATGGATGAAGAAGAGATGGAAAAGAGATGTAAGAGTTTGTCAGATGGCAACGAAGACGTAGGAAACCCTGACCCAGCTGATTGTGAGGAAACATCAGCTAAGGAAACCGAGTGTGTCACCAAGTCCTTCTCTTCCCTTCCTCGGAATAAGGAAGAATTGGAGAGAACAATTAAGAATATTCAAGGAGCCATAACAGGGGATATCCTTCCCAGGCTCCATAAATGCCTGGCATCTACGGTAATTATTCTGCTTGGGGCCCAGCAGGTCTGTGTGAAGCAGGGTGTTTGTGGGGCCCTGTCAGCGAGGCTCTTAACTATTATTGATTGATGTCAGCGTTTGGATTTTCTTTTATCTCAACATTTCACAGTTCACTTTCTTTCTCCTCTAGTCATCTTCGGGTTCATCTCCTGCTGCAGCTAGGCAGTAATGTTCCTTCTTCATTATGATTTCACCTGGTAGATAATATGCTTTTCTATCTCTGAAATAGATAGTGACTCCCATTTCTAAAACAGGTTATTAAAAATTACTGTCTGTTTCCCTTTTTTCTTTCTTGGCTACTTACCTGCTGTTCAAAATTATCTTCCCCCTGGTTAACAGGGATAACTTTTAGCAGTGGATTCTCATGATGCCATAGCCCTTCCTACTCAGTATAAAACATGGATTGGCAAACTGTGGCCATAGGCTGAATCTAGCCTGTGGCCTATTTTTGTAGCTAAAGTTTTGTTGGAACACAGTTAAACTTGTTGATTTACATATGGTCTGATTCTGCTTTTGCATTACTACAGCTGAGTTGAGTGGTTTCCACAGAGATCAAACCAAAAATACTTATTCTCTAGCCCCCTAAAGAAAAACTTTTGCCAACCCCTGGTGTAGAATATTAACTTGGTCATTTTATATCTTAGTAAGTAGCTTTATTTGAGACACTATATTTCTTATGAACCAACAATGTCACTCAAACACTTGAAAGTCCCAATTGATACATATTTTATAGGATTTTTGTATATTTCATAGCAGTCTTAACCCACAGTAGTGTAAACTTGGCTTTATTTTTTTCTGATTGCTCCTTTGAAAAACATTGCATTGCTATTGTTTTTTCAATTTCTAAAGGTTTATTCTCAAACTGCATAATTTAGTTTGTTTTCTAAGGCATTACACTTAGAAATGGACATCAGTTATATCAAAAAAGCTTCTCTTTCAAATGAAAGATTGTAGTGTTAGTGGGTCTCTGATCTATTTATCTTCATTTTAGTTTAACCTAAATTTTTCTTACAGACTAAACGGGAAGAAGAACACAAACTCATAAAGTCCAAGGTTGTGAATGATGAAGAAGTGGTTCGAGTTCCTTTAGCTTTTGCCATGGTTAAACTAATGCAGTCCCTTCCACCAGAAGTTATGGAAACTAACCTCCCAAGGTATGTTGTGTGACAATCGCAATAGTTCCGTGAAAATCACAGATTGCCTCTTTCTTCCTAACTTGAAAGTCTTTTATCGGGAAGAAGAGAAGTACTGTCACAATTTGCTGTGCTTGACAATCCTAAGTGGGAAATCTGGGTTATGGGCAATGAATAAAGAAAAGGATGTTTATATTTTTATTTGCTTCTGGGGTTTTTTGGTGTGTTTTTTGTTCTGTTTTTTTGATTAGTCATTTTT